ATCTTTCAAAGGAAACACTTTACAATTTAAGTTTCCCACGTCAACTACAATAGATTACAGATTATACTTTTCGGTAGAAACTACTTTCCAAAAGGCTATTGTTAAAGAAATTCTTGTCTGTTTTATTATACGAGGTATATGCATCTGTTCTCTTATACATAACTTGACTATATGTGAAACCCAATTATTTTTGGTAGTTGTATTTCCCAATAAATTTGTTCCACCTGATGTTTCGCTATTTAGTCCTATTAACAGCATGAATGATTATGTGTCGCTAGAATTGTTGAATAAAGATGATATCCATATGAAGTGTAGTGTACGTGAAGGATGTATGAATTACACATAGATTTATATGTACACATGTGTTGATACTTTTTATCAAGCGTATTTCAGTTGTCAGTATGTGGGGTTAAGTTGAAACCAGATCAAAACTATGTTTTACTCCCTCATTCCTATTTAGATCATTTTGATTCCATTTAGTGTGAAGAGATTCTGATATCAGAAATCTTTTATAATTTCCAAAGTTTTTCTGAATAACCTTGATTTTGTCAAAAATCAACCTTGTAACCTGAAATGATAGCATATAGAGAGCTATGGCTGATGTGTTTTCAAGTTTTTCCAGTTTCATTGGATTTCTAGGAGGTCAGATGTTCATTTTTCCTAATTTTGATTATCTCAGGTAAAGTTTGTCTTATATATAAATACTGACTGCATCGCTGTCTCAGCATTCTATTTTATAAACACAATTAAATTGTGAATCTAGAAGGATCTGGTCCTTCAAATGAATTAGGGGTGCTCTGTAATATGTTTGATGTTCTGTAAAACACTCTGATATTGTGTTTCTTGAGCACTCTTCTAGTTTTCTCAGATGTGTGTGATCTGTAAGGGGTAACTGTTGTTGAGGCCCATGATTTAAGAGTAGTTTTACGACTTCATTTAATGCCATTTTCTATTTTACGAATGAGTTAATCTTCCATTTTCATACATTACTAGAGTGTATGCTCTCTCTTTAAGAGAATGGAGGCAACAGAGACTTTCGCACTAACTGGTGTGATGAGTTGAAATTTAAATAGTTGATCGGATGTATTGCTTTCCTGAAAATGGTTTTCCCCTTAATGTCAACATTCTTTCCGCTTAACAAGATAATCGAGCAAAGGTAGCTCCCTCATATCCCTTACTTCTTCTAAGCTGAACTTGGTACTAGAACATCGACAATTCAGTTCATCTAAGAATGCCTGGTATAAGTCATGTTTTAAAATTACGAATGTGTCAGCCAAATGTTTGGCTTTAGCCAGTGAATGAAGACACTTACTTCAAATTTACACGTAAATAGGTAAGCTACTATGAATGAAACAGGTGAATATATTGCAACATCTTCAGTTCGCCTTCATGTTGATGATGTTGACAACTGACAACCGAAGTATATTTGATAAGAATTATCAACATATGTGTACATACAAATCTCAATCTGTAATTCATACACTCTTATCAGGCAACACAATACATATGGATATCATCTTTATTCAACAATTCCAGCAACGCAGAATCATTCATGCAGAAGAATACTTTTCAAGTCATCATATGTAAATAACCTTCGATATTTTAAATTCTGGTTCACTATAACTTCGATAATGGCAGTCAACCCTCTACCTCAACTTCATCCACTTTCAAAACGCCTTCAACAGCGTCGACCGAGAAGTAATTTGGCAAGCAGCCGCTTCAACACTACGGCTTTATCAACCTCATTCAACAAATATACGAAGACGCCACATGACAAGTAATTCACAACGGGAAGCTTAGCTATGCCTTTCAAGAGATGACAGGAGTAAGACAAGGCTGTCTACTATCATCTATGATATTCCTGATTGTAGTGGACTGGATCATGAAACAAACCGTGAGGAGCGAGAAAAAGGGGAATATGCTGGACCACGGAAAAGAACCCAGAAGATTTGGATTTCGCAAACGATGATTTGTGTCCAATGTCTTGTGACACAAACCTTAAGATCTACAGGCGAAATCTAACAAGTTAACAGAGAAGGCAGGACAGCGAACATGGGACTTCCTACAAGTGAACGTAGAGAAGACAGAGGTGATGAACATATCCAACCAACAACAAGCTCCAATCACCATCAATGGGAGAAATCTAAAGGAAGTAGTCACTTTCACCTACCTAGGCGTGGCAGCACCGCTTCAACTACAGGCGGTACAGACAATGATGTCAAAACGAGGACAGAAAATATAGCAAGACAGGCATTTCATTAATCTGAAAGCACTGTAGAGATCTACTGCACTCAGCATAAAGAACAACATCCAGATTTTCAACATCAACACCAGTCAAGTCAGTGCTTCTGTATGTCTCAGAAACTTGGCGCGTTACGAAAGGCATTTCCAACAAACTACATACATTCATCAACAACTGCCACCTACACCGGCTCGTTACTCAAGATCAGATGGCCAGAACAGTAGGAATAAGCAACAACGAACTCTGGTTGGCTGGCTAGCTGACTGACTGGCAACGGAACAACCAAGAACCTATCGACCAACAAATAAGCAGAAGGAAGTGGACATGGATTGGATTGTGCATACACTGAAGAGGCCGATTGGGGACATCACGCGTCAGACCAGATACTCGAGTGTAACCCAGATAGGAAACGACGAGTTCGGCGTTCGAGGTGAGGGTGACATGGAGGAGATCGTGCGAAGAAGAAATGAGAGGTTGTGGGCTGTCGTGTAGCCAGATTCAAAAGATTTCAGAGAAGAGAGTGGAATGGAGACGTGCTACTAAAGCCCTATGTTCGATTAGGGACCTAAGGGACAAATAATAATAACTTTGATAAAGCTATTAACAGCACTAATTGGGAAAACATCAGTTGGAAAAAATCTTACTTTGTTTTACATTCATTGGGGGAATACAAATACCGAAATAATGAATATCATTTATCCAATGCCCAAATGTTTTCAAACTATCAAATTCCAACATGGTTTGCATATCTACAAAATGATTATGTGAAACCCCTTCTCATGATTTTAGGGTATTGTAAATATCCGGGGTTGAATTTGTATATTTCTTGGGAAGAATCCTAGAAAATACCTGCTAATTCCCACAACTAACCAATGTTTTAAAACTAAACTAATCAAGCATCGTCGGTTTTCTTCGCCCAGCTTTTCATCCATCTAGCGATAGAATAAGTCATCTCCTTTGCAGTAGAGAAGATTATCTAGTTAATTTCAGTTGGGTTCGTCTTCACAACAGACATTTGAATCGTAGACTAAATGATGACCATCTCAACTAATATGTGATAACAATATCACAGATTATCCTATTGTATCCTATTGTATAACAACACAATTCCCATGTTGATAATAAATGTTTGTATAACAAGTCAGCTACTTTTATTTAAGACCTATATACACTAGAAACATGTAAGCATATTTCTTGAATACATGTTATCTATGCGGATGCTGACACCTCTAAGATTTCAAGATTTCAACTTTGTTTCAACAGTTATTTCGAAATCTACTACGTTAACAGTTCATATCAAATAGCAGATGAAATAACTACACAGGACTCAAACAATCCTGACAACAAGGGATTCATACTAATTCAGAGGAAATTTAACATGAGAAGCAATTAGTTGTATGTATTCACCATTATATAACTACAAAAACAAATACATATTTTACATCGTGAAGCTTTCATCGCCTTGCTAGACAACATCATCAGCACTAACTTCACTATGAAGTGACCTCTCAATATCTATCTCTCCATCAGTGATTTAGTAGCTTGCTGCTTGCTCTGACGATGTCCTCTGTAATTGGTTGTTTCCTTCGATTGTTGTGTCATTGATTGTATAGACCTTCCTGTTGGTTGTTCCTCTGCTTCATCTCTCACCTTTCTGTCGGTGACCATCTTTCTTAATGGTTGATAGATTGGGTCTATGTCTATATATATCTGCCCAATGCAGACTGACCTGAATGCCAAGATTCTAGAAATCCTCTGACATTCTTTGTTTTTCCTCTCTCCCTCCCAGATTTCTACATTGTCCATAATTATCCACATGCATTGAGCAGTGAGTGACGAAATGTCGTGACGTTTAATAGGCAATTGGTGTTCATGTAAATGACGAAGGCGAAGAGAGTGGTCACTTTGTCCAATGTAGTATTGACCACAGTTGGTGCAGTTGATTTTGTAAATGATATTCGATTTGTCTTCTTTGATTGTTGAATCCTTTGGTCTGGATAATAGTGTTTGGAGGTAATTTGTTGGTTTATGAGTGGCCACACCAATTCTAAGTGGTTTCAGTAATCTTGTCGTGGTTTCTGATACATTCTTTATGTATGGTAGGATGATGCGTTTATTGATTAGTGTGGATGACTTTATAGTTGATGATGTGCGGGATAAGCATCTTCTGTTACAGTTTTGTGGGTAGCCGTTGTTTTTTCGGATAGACATCGAGTAATTTTCTCAGTTTCTCCGTAAACAACCCAGCTCAGAGAACATAATACAACCAGGACCATCCACCTGAGCTACAAATATTCTCCACTACATATTTTATACTTATAACAAACATGAAGAGAATCTAGATGACATCTTCGACATAATCTGGTAGATTATCAAACCAGTCATTTAAAAACGTACCATGATTTCAAGTTGGTACTCATCAAATCGAACATGAAGACAGCTACTTCCAGACGTCATTGGATGAAAGTCGTACCATATCGTGAAATTACAGAATTAGAAATAAAGATCATTGGATTTTGGATCCAGTGGCGCAGTGGTAACCTATCGAGACCAAGAGTGCGCACTGTGGAGGAGTCACAGACTAATGTCCAGTGGTTCCAAGTTTCCAATGGTTATTCAACTGATGTCAGTCCATGATGAGTATCAATCTGAAATCAATAAATAAATCCTTACAAACCTGCAAACTGGATCTGTTTTTTTTTTTGCTTCAAGCATAATCTTGAATTTGTATTTCAATCCGAACTTTTTATAATTCGTGTTAAAGTATCTAAGTTTATTTATCTACAAGTAGAAAACAAATTTCAGCCATAGAATCTGATAAGTGAAACGATTTCTGATGAAAATGGTATAGAAAGACACAATAGAAAGTAAGTCAATTAAAAATACTGTACACCTGATATGTAACGAAAAGATGAACTATACTGTATGTCTAACAGACCAAAATTTAATATAACCATCATCAGAAGCTGTTGTAAGAATGAAATACGAATCGGTTACCATATCTTTACTAGAGTTCTTATCATTATTAACCTGAGGTTGCCATTGTACACAGTTCACATCTTCTAAGTGTGCATTTGGAACATGACTCCATAAAATAGGCGGTTCTGATAAACACGGCTTTCCACTAGTATGAATTAAACCATTAGATGGCATTTTGTAAATACATATTCTGTTGTCAGCACCACAACTAGCCAAAAGTTGTCCATCCGGTGACCTATCCATAATCAAAGAAAAAGTAAAATTATCAAGTCTATATTTTAAAATACTAAAGAAAGGATAAAATCTTCAACACCTCAAGTTTAACATTATGTAATGTTAATTACTAATGAAGATACCCAATCAACAACAAGCATCTCCAATCACCATCAATGGGAGAAACCTAAAGGACGTAGTCTCTTTCACCTAACCTCCTATGCAGCACTGTTTCAACTATAAGCGGCAGAGGTACGGATGAGGACGTCAAAGATAGCCAGGAACGGAAAAGCAAGATAGGCGTTCCTTAGCCTGAAACCAGTGTGGAGATCTTCTGCACTCAACCAGCATAAAGCGTCAACAACATCCACATTTTCAACACCAACACCAGTCAAGTCAATGCTTCTATGAGTTGATTGGGAGACTTGGCGCGTTACAAAATGCATTTCCAACGAACTACAGACATTCATCAACAACTGCCACCTACACTGGCTCGTTACTCAAGATCAGATGGCCTGAAAGAATACAAAACAAAGAACTCTGGCTGTCAACGAACCAACCAACAACCTATCACTCAACAAAAATGCAGAAAGAAGTGGAGATGGATTGTATTGGGCATACACTGAGAAGACTGTTCGAAGACATCACGCGCTAGGTCATGTACTCGAGTGTAACTCAGATGGAAAACGATGAGCTGGGCGTTCGAGATGAGGGTGACATGGAGGAGATCGTGCGAGGAGGAAATGAGAGCTTCTGGGCTGTCGTGGAACCAGGTTCAAAGGTTTGCAAGGAAGAGGGTGGAGTGGAGACATGCTACTAAAGCCCTATGTTCGATTAGGAACCCGAGCGACAAATAATAATAATCATAAGATAGTCATGATGAAAATCCAAAGTCTGTAGAGTAGCTTAACTCCACCTATCTTGATTGTAGATATTCATTAGTAAGGCTCAAACTAATAAAACGCATTTAGCCTGGAATAGACACCAATATTTCAAGATTTGAAGTTGAAAACTATAAACTTTCAGAAGGCGAAAGCTACGTGGCTCATTACAGCAATATTCACTGACAACAGAAACTCTATAAAATATACATACAGAAATCAACCTAAGGAGAACAACTCTTGCTTTTATATACAATCTATACGCCCTTGATAAAATAGCATATTAAAGTGGAGGATTAACCAATAGAAAACAGCGTTCTTAAAAGCGGTAAAATTGACCGATATGTGTAGGGCGGGAAAAATGTAATTCAAATTTTCCATTTCTAAACATATAAGTATAAAACTACCATTTTTTAGGATGTAACAATCTCCAACAAAAGAGAATATCAATACCACGTAAAAAACAAGTTATAACTTATCACAACCAAAGAAGAGGGGGATACGCTGAACCGAAGAAAAGATCCTAGAAGATTTAGATTCCGCAAACGATGACTTGTGTCTAATGTGTTGTGGCATAAACTCGAAGATCTACAGGCGAAAACTAACAAGTTGACAGAAGAAGCGAGGCAGGCCAGCGAAGGAAGACGGGACTTCCTTTGGTGAACGTAGAGAAGACGGAGGTGACCAAGATACCCAACCAACACCACCAAAGACAACAACAAGCTCCAATCACTATCAACAGGAGAAAATCAAAGGAAGTAGCCTCTTTTACCCACCTTCACAGGCAGCAATGCTTCAACTACAGGCGGCACAGGTACAGACGAGGACGTTAAAGCAGCCAGGATCGGAAAATAGCAAGATGGGCGTTCATTAACCTGAAACCAGTGTGAAGATGGTCTGCACTCAACCAGCATAAAGCGTGAACAACATCCGGATTTTCAACACTAAGTCGATCAAGTCAGTGCTTTTTTTTATTTATCCCGTAGGTTCCTAGTAGAACAAAGGGCTTCAGTAGCATATCGCTATTTCACTCTCGTCCCTCCACTCTTGAAAACCTAAATCCACAACTGCTCACTAGCTTTCATTTCTTCCTCACACCATCTCCTCCATATCACCCTCACCTCAAATGCCCAACTCGCCGTTTCCCACTTAGCTTCCACTCAAGGGCGTAGCCTGGCCTGGCCTAGCGCGTGATATGTCCCCAAATTATCCCCTCAACGTATATCCAATCCAATCCATCTCCACTTTCTTCGTCTACATATTCATTGGACGATAGCATGTTGGTTGGTTCGTCGCCAATCAGCCAGCCAGCCACCCGGTCAGTCAGTCAGTCAGAGTTCCTCCTTGCTCATCCTTATTATTCTCGACATCTGATCTGATCTGATCTGGTCTCCAGTGTCAGTATCGAGTGAGCGTAGGTGGTGGCAGCTGTTCATCATGTATTTCTGTAGTTTGTTGGGAATGATTTTCATAACGCGCCACAAACTCTCTCAACCATCACATAGAAGCACTGACTGACTTGACTGATATTGGTGTTGAAAATGTGGATGTTGTTCACGCTTTATGCTGTGTGGAGTGGAGTGGAGTGGAATAGATCTCCACACTGATTTCAGATTAATGAAGGCCTGTATTGCTGTCTTTCCGTTCTGGCTGTCTTTGACGTCGTCATTTGTGTCGCCGCCTGTAGTTGAAACGATGCTGCCCAGCCTAAGAAGGTGGGTGGGTGGAAGAGGCTACTTCCTTTAGATTTCTCCCGTTGATGGTGATTGGTGCTTGTTGGTGTGGTTGTTGTAGTTGTTAGTTTGGTATTTTCATCACCTCTGTTTTCTCTACGTTCACCTGAAGGAAGTCCCGTCTTCCTTCGCTACCTCGCCTCTTCTGTCAACTTGCTGGTTTTCACCTGTATGTTTTCGAGCTTGCGCGTCATTAGACATAAATCATCATCAGCGAAATCTAATCTTCTAGGCTTTTTCATCGGTCCAGCATATGTCTATCTTCTTGCTCCTCATAGTTTGTTGTATGATCCGGTCTAGTCTAGTCGACCACAATGAGGAAGATCATCGGTGATAGTAGGCTACTCCTGCTTTTGCTTCAAAGGCATCAATAAAGTTCCTTTCTAGACACATACTAATCCTGAAGGATAAACAAGAAGTCATAAAGAAATACAAATGTAACTTACCAACTTAAATCAAAGATGGTACGTGTGTGATATCCAGTTACATTGCCAATACATATCCATGAAGATGATTTACTGCAAACGCCTACAGAATAAAGATAATCACATTTACCATATGTACATTACATTTGCCGCCTAGAAAGAACTAGACTCAGGTAGTGAGTGATAAAATAGTATTCAAATGTGCAACTATTTGTTTTCAGTTAGAACACTTTAAAAACCTGAAAGTAAGCACAATGTTACTACTGATTGTTCTGCAGTGCTAAAGAAAATTATGTCATGTCTAGAGAGGGTTTAGAGTGGTCACACCAAGACGTGGCACTTAATGTACGAAGTCTCTGACCGTTGGTCCAGACCGTGTAGGTAGGTCTAGTCTACCTGACTGGGGTCCCGAGACGTTAAGAACCAATGATTGAGGACTCTTGATGAAATGATTAGAAGAGAAATGCGTCATATTACTCCACTGATATTTGAATATACGATGAAAGAATGAATGAATGAATGTATAACAGGAAATGAAATCTTTCTCATCAGCACATTTAATCTAAGTAGCCAAAACTTTAGCGAGTCCATAGACAAAAAAAACCAAACTTTATGAAACGGAACAGTTCATAGCATTTGATACATAATGGATTCGCATTAAGAAGTAAAGCATGAAGAAAACAAGGAAAATTCCACAAACAATATCATTAAGAGAAAGCTATGAATGGCAAACCTATCATGCTGGGTTATAAAACGCCTTTCCAGCAATCAGGATTAACTCTAGTTACAAAAGTCACAAATCACTTCTGATTCATTATTGCTAATTTGGTAAATATCTTCGATGTCATATATCATGCACATACATCACTATTCAATGATAAAAGCAGTAATAACAAACAATAAAATGGGTTTTCTCCTCCTAATTTTGCACAAAGACCACTGACTACTTATAAGTAACACGTGTTACCACACATAAATTCCACTAACATATTACATAACATGTGGAGAGAAACAACATTTGTGTTGCAAAAAGAGGATAAGAAGAACAATATGAATGGTATTCAGTTAGCGTGTTACATATTTCTTAAACTAGACGCTGTTACATACATTTCAAATCCAACAAAATCCAAGTATAAAAGAGCGATTGGTATTGGTATGGATTATAACTTAGTGTACAAACATGTGTTTAATAGCTTTGTTGTAGTGGTTGCAGTGTATACCATGAAGGCTCTTTATTCCACCTGTTTTTCCGAATCATTTTCGAATTCGTCACCCACTATTCATATGATAAGCAACAGAGTGAACGAAAGACGGTTTTAGTGGTATGACAACTAAAGCATCATCAAATCAACCTTATTTACTATAACAGTAAAACTTGGGCACATTGATGGATTGTAATTCCGTTTACAGTAAATACTACTACTCCACAACAACAACAAACACAAATCACCATCAACGGGAGAAATCTAAAGGAAGTAGTCTCTTTCACCCACCAACCTACTTAGGCTGGGCAGCGTCGTTTCAACTACAGGCGGCGACACAAATGACGACGTCAAAGACAGCCAGAACCGGAAAGACAGCAATACAGGCCTTCATTAATCTGAAATCAGTGTGGAGATCTATTCCACTCCACTCCACTCCACACAGCATAAAGCGTGAACAACATCCACATTTTCAACACCAATATCAGTCAAGTCAGTCAGTGCTTCTATGTGATGGTTGAGAGAGTTTGTGGCGCGTTATGAAAATCATTCCCAACAAACTACAGAAATACATGATGAACAGCTGCCACCACCTACGCTCACTCGATACTGACACTGGAGACCAGATCAGATCAGATCAGATCAGATCAGATCAGATGTCGAGAATAATAAGGATGAGCAAGGAGGAACTCTGACTGACTGACTGACCGGGTGGCTGGCTGGCTGATTGGCGACGAACCAACCAACATGCTATCGTCCAATGAATATGTAGACGAAGAAAGTGGAGATGGATTGGATTGGATATACGTTGAGGGGATAATTTGGGGACATATCACACGCTAGGCCATGCAGGCCAGGCCAGGTGAGGCTACGCCCTTGAGTGGAAGCCAAGTGGGAAACGGCGAGTTGGGCATTTGAGGTGAGGGTGATATGGAGGAGATGGTGTGAGGAAGAAATGAAAGCTAGTGAGCAGTTGTGGATTTAGGTTTTCAAGAGTGGAGGGACGAGAGTGAAATAGCGACATGCTACTGAAGCCCTTTATTCCACTAGGTATCCAAAGGACAAATAATAATAGTGTTTCACTGTGTGACACACTTAAAAAACAGACTGAAATGGGGTTGTTAATTTACGTCTATGATCCTTTAAGTACCAAATAATGCAAGTCAGATTTATCAACCACGAAATTTGGTTGATTCGGGTGGACTTTATATTCCACATTAGATTTGTTCATTTGATTCACTATCATTTTGACTATCTAAGATATCCGTGGTTTGGCAGACTAGTATTGGTACTGGGTGATGATTGAAGGTGAAATGAACATTTGGATCGCGGACAGATTCGAACCACCGACTACCAGCCAGTATCAATACCAGTCTCCCAAACCACGAGTATATTAGATGGTCAAAATGATCATCAATATGATGCTCCTCTTCTCTCTCTAATTCAGTTACATTTGGATTAGGATGAGAAGTCCTGACCAGGCAAACAAGTGTGAATACTATCAACCGATAGTAACGCGTCACTAAGTCACATGGAAGTCGGACAAAACTCTTGATGATTCCACTGAAAAAAAAATGTGATCAGCAGTCGGACTTTATAGCTCAGTTGATAGAGAATCGAGTCAGAAACTTGGTGGTCACTGGTTTGAATTCGGCCCCCGTCGGAATCTTCATTTCACCTTTAGTCATCACCTAGCATCAAGTGAACTTATGATCGTTGCAAATCGGTGATTTACAATTCATTAAACAATTTGATATAGAATCTCTTTTATCATTTTAAATAATTATCTGAGTATAATGACCAGTGTTGACAGAAGAGGCAACGAAAACGGAACTTCAATTGAATATAGAGAAGACAAAAGTGAAGATACCCAACCAACAACAGCAAGCTCCAATCACCATCAATGGGAGAAATTTAAAGGAAGTATCCTCTTTCACCCACCTTCCTAGGAAGCACTGTTTCAACTACAGGCAGCACAGGCACAAATGAAGACGTCAAAGCCAGCCAGAATTGGAAAGACGGCAAGACAGGCATTTCATTAATCTGAAATCACTGTAGAGATCTACTGCACTCAGCATAAAGAACAACATCCAGATTTTCAACATCAACACCAGTCAAGTCAGTGCTTCTGTATGTCTCAGAAACTTGGCGCGTTACGAAAGGCATTTCCAACAAACTACAGACATTCATCAACAACTGCCACCTACACTGGCTCGTTACTCAAGATCAGGTGGCCTGAAAAAATACAAAACAAAAAACTCTGGCTGTCAACAAACCAACCAATAACCTATCACTCAACAAAAGTGCAGAAGGAAGTGGAGATGGATTGTATTGGGCATACACTGAGAAGACTGTTCGAAGACATCACGCGCTAGGCCAGGTACTCGAGTGGAACCCAGATGGAAAACGATGAGCTGGGCGTTTGAGATGAGGGTGACATGGAGGAGATCGTGCGATGAGGAAATGAGAGCTTGTGGGCTGTCGTGGAGCCAGATTGAAAAGATTGCAGAGAACAGAGTGGACTGGAGACGTGTTACTGAAGCCTTATGTTCCATTAGGGACCCAAGGGACAAATAATAATAACAATAATGAACAGTGCATAATGTATTCTTTCCTGTTTATCAAGTGTATTACGTATATACTTGTGTACATTGGTACACAATTCAATCTATACTTACATTACCAGTTTACTCACCAGAACAAAGAGTATATAAAGTGTCTCGATTAAGCAAATTTCTTTCTGATACCTTATTAGTGAAGAAGCATGTAGAAAGAGGAGACTGCCCCCCCCCCCAACACACACACACAAACATATGGATATGCTGGAGAAAGAGAAAAACAACCTGTCATGTTCCATGTGGCAACTCTTACAGCTGTTAGCAGCTATACAATTAATTATCTTCACAGATACCTTATTCATATCAATTGAACATATATGGATCACAAAGCAGGAGAATCACTAGAGGAAAATAGCAATTTCTGAGCATGTAATTAGGAAAGTTTACCACAGCAATCACTATGACCTTAACTATAGAAAACAATCGACCTAATTTCTAACTATCTGGGACTTCTTTATCTCTCTATTTGTTCTCTATTCCATCATTTAGTTTTTGATTATTTTGACATCTTTTATTTACTTCGAACGATTACTACTCTTAGCTATTGCAAACTACAGCTTTTGAGTATGAGGCTCCAAGCTGTTCAATCTTCATCTCCTAGCTCTTTTACATAGGAAGTGTTTTAACCTCTGGTATAAATAAACAAGAGATTACATATTTACTATTGTATAATGAAATATAGGAATAGTTTAGTGATGATATTGATGACTACAACATTAGATGACGTGAGTTCGAATCGCAGAGAAGAAATTACTTCCCGATATGCTTTGCTGACGATGAATGCCAACAAGGACGAAAGTTAGATCGGGCAAGGTTTCCTGTTGATTACATCAAATTAAATAACATCCACTGAAGTGAGAATGGTAGAGTAAGCGTGGATATAAGATTTAATCTAAATATATGCGTAGGGTTATTGAAAAGCTTACCATCCCATGCCCAAAGTTTGACACATCGATCATCACTACAACTCGCTAGAATATCTCCTGATGGAGAAAACTCTGCTTTCCATACAGTTGAGCTATGTCCAGCTAAGGTGATTAAAACAAAAAGGAATAAACATGAACGAAAATTATTGTTAATAATAATGAATTTCGAAACTTATATTTTTAGGTTGGAATTCATGATTGACTGACATCAGTTGGAGGAATATTGGAAACCTAGGAGCACTGAACAGCTATTTCGTCCAAGTATGGGACTCCTCAGCAGTGCCCACCCAAGGCCCCACCCCCCAGAGATCGAACTCAGAACCTTTGAGTCCTGTGGCCAGCACGTTACCATTCAGCCGTTTAGTCAGAATCCAATGGTCCATATCTCCTACTTCACGATACAGCGAGACCTGATGGAATCGTGGGTGCGCACTGCTGAAGAATCCTATGCTAGGGCGAAACAGTTGTCCAGTCTTCCTAAGTTTCCAATGCCCATGATGAATTTCAACTTGAAATCAGTTAATTTATCTCCACAAACCTCCAGACTGCATTCCAACTGAATAGATATTTCATGTAAAATAATAATACTGACCTTCGCACGAATATTTAAAATTTGCATTACGATCATTGTAAATGAAATATAAACTAGTTCTTATAATAAGGATACACTTATTCACACGCTACGTCAATCTTCTCTATTCTTAGAAACTTCTCAAAGTGTCAGTTACTTCATTCACTTGACTTGCAATTATACATAAATCTTCAATATGATGTTCGAGATAACTAAATGACACAACCACAATATACACCTGATCGACTAGCCAGGGTATATTTTAAGCAATGGTGTTTATCAATGATCAAATAAATTCTATACAATCTCAGTACACACGCGTAAATCGGTCGTTCATACACAGTACATTTCCAACTCCTACATTTCGCTAAGCTTCAAATCCCTATTCAAGCCGAAATCACAATACCACATTGAAACATCCTGTATCAATATGCATGATAAAACTTACACATAAGACTGTAATCTCATTCTAATTAAGCAATAAATAAACATAATTCTGTGCAGCACTGGTTGTTAAACTCATTGTAAGGGATCCAAAATTTAAACATTCAAGTATGGTTGAGAGTCATACACAGCAATGAGTTCTACACAATTGTGAAAAGGTGCGAACCACTGACAGCTGTCTAAAGTGGATAGGTGGTTATATGGGATCAAATTAAGAGAAAAGGGCTATTTCGGTCACAAATCATCTATATTCTAACCTACAACACCGGACGACGCGGATTCGAGTCTCAGGTTGTTGTAAACACAACTTTCTGACGACTGTTTCCGACCAAACAACTAAGAAGTCAAATATTGGTGGCCCACTTCAAGGAGATCTATTTGCTTATAACTAGTTACAATCAAACGTGAACCTCTAATCCCATCGACTTATTTAACACAACATCGAATCGAATTGAAGTCTATTCAACATCCTTGTGCAAATTAGTGTAGTAGACTATGAATCATACTTATTGTGTGAGGGCTAATGATACTACTTGGTTTCTCAAACCTCGGTAGGTCAATTGAAGTTCGAACTTGTGATGGTTTGGATGGAAGTCGTCTGTGTAAACCACTGAGCCATATAGCCTCACATTTCACATGACAAGATCAATTGCTCAGTTATTCACCCTCTTAGAAATGCTTAATGTTAGCACAGTCTACCTCTTACAAAAAAAGCACCAATATCAGTAACTACCCCAATATGATTTCAGCACCTACACTTAAGAATAAATGTAGAAAATTTTCAATTACTTCTACGAACTAGATAATGTAAGCTCAACTATTAACTATTCAACGTGACAAAATGGGTGGCATAAAATTCGGTATACACAAACAAACTACTGATTAGTACACACATTAGTTTTAGCTAAATATTCCAACCAAAGTTAGCTCGGTTTGAAACACACCATGAAGAAAGGTCCAATGGAATTCCATCAAAACTATGTTTAAAGTGGTAAAACTTTCGACACAAAAGCTATCAGCTTGACAACTATTTCATTGTACACTGAGTTGACAAGCGTTACCTATAAAAAGTTATCGAGTGCTGTAATACAATAAAATCGAATTATATGAAAAATCTTAGTATAACTAGCAAATTACCAGAAATGTTCTCATTATAAGGTATTATTTTGAAAACTGATTAGCTGTGAAATCAATCCTTGATCAGAAAGTTATAAACATACGGATTAGGCATAATACGGGACTGGTAAAAGTTTCCGTACTCCTTGACAGTCTATTCCTCTTTTGAATAAGCCTTCTGAACACCTCAGAAACTCTAACCTCAATCATGGAACTATGAAAAACAGAATAATTTTGTTTAAGCATTTTCATTTCAGTTATGAGAAAATATACTGTCAGCTACTTTAGCCAATACGACTTGGCACGTGTACTCTAAGTCTATAAGGGACACTAAAGAACGAGATGATTCCTTAGAAAGCTGGAAGAAAATGTAGTCTCTTCAAGTATTTCTATGCCAAAGTAGATATGAAGTCGGAAATGTACAATAATCAACATAGCCAATCTCCTACGTTGCATATAGTAAGTTCCGACATGATCAGATCTTCCAGTAAACAGCCTTTTGTAAGATTATATCGTTATTAAGAACCCTGTGATCTTCAAAGTACCACTAAAAAAGCCAGATATATAATATTCTACATAAATAGATGGAAATAACATCCAATGACTGAAGTAAAAGTGAAATCTGGTTGATAGTTCAATTTTCGAAAAATACTGGTGATGGGCAAAATCAGTAGCGCAGCGGTTATATACAGATAGACTCAAAGACTAAAACATAAGTCAACCATTTGAGTATCGATGGGTCGTGCTCAGTATAATACCTTAAGAAAAATGCTAAAAAGTTGGTAACAAAGTAAATTACATAAATATCACGATAATGGGTGCTTACTCAGTTGAACAAAAACAGTCCAATCATCAATCTCCTCTCGGTAAACATTGATTTTATTATCGTAGCTTGTGGAAACCAAAACCTATTCAAAATATAAAATATAAGAAATACAGGTAACACATAAAGAATCTATGCTGTGCAGCCCACATAACATAGGTCAATGAAAACATCTTCTTGTGATGAAATGAAGCATAAAGTGGATGACTTTAGGAGGATAAGGTGTCATGTTAACTCCTCCAAAAAAACAGGTTGTGTTTAACAAACCATGCACAATGCTGAGTTTATGAGCGGAGAGATTCCAAAAACACCAATCAATAACAGTGGAGTGAAGTAATACTGAGATATTTTTAAATCAGATAAACACCTTGATTGCCAGTAGTTGTCGGGCTTGCATATCACAATGACCCAACGAGCTATGCTGGTGGAACGATTGTTGCCTCGAGGTCCTACCATACCAGAAACGTCTGTTCGATAGTGGTTAGACAAAAAACAGTTACCGTTGTGGTGTAAATTACTACACTATGATGGGGGTCTGAGGGCTAAGTCATACTGCTGCTAGCTGGATGGGGTGTGACAGCAGTAAGGTGTTCCCTCGGATGACCAGCAGCGCCATGCTGATGCTGCCTTCTCATAGGAAGGCGGGTTGGAAAAGGTCAGCCCCGAAAATACAAAAGATGAAAATAACCGTACTCAAAAGACTACGTGTGACAGACCTGAAGCAGATGTCCGATGGGCTCAGCGGTCACATAAATCTCTTTCAGGTACCTTAAGAAAAATAGCCTTCCACGGTGTGGGCAGCCGGGAAGTGTCAACCACCCTCACAACTCAGTCAATTGAGTAGTTTTTCTAAAGAAAACTATCTTGTTTATCAGAATGTTATGATAATATTAGTAAAATATGCACCTGACCTAATGAAAACTCACACAGTGCACATGGTAGCATTCAGTCAAACATTAAGTATTATTATATTATTACTAGTCCCTTGGGCCCCTAATGAAACATAGGGCTTCAGTAGCACGTCTCCAGTCCACTCTGTTCTCTGAAATCTTTTGAACTTGGCTCCACGACAGCCCACAACCTCTCATTTTCTTCTCGCACGATCTCTTCCATGTCACCCTCACCACGGACGCCAACTCGTCGCTTCCAATGGGGATTCCACTCGAGGGCCTGGCCTGGCCAGTGATGTCCCCAGTCGGCCTTCTCAGTGCATTCCCAATCCATCTCCACTTCCCTCTACTGCATATTTGTTGCGTGATAGGTTCTTGGTTGGTTCGTTCCCAGAGCTCCTTGTTGCTTATTCTTGTTATTCTGGCCATCTCATCTTCAGTAGCGCGCGTAAGCAGTTGTTGATGAATATCTATAGTTTATTGGGGATCCCTTCCGTAACGCGCCAAGTCTCTGAACCATACAGAGGCACTGATTTGACGTTGTTGTTGAAAATCCGGATCTTGTTCCACTTGCTGAGTGCAGAAGATCTCCACACTGGTTTCAAGCTAATGAACGCCTGTCTTGCTTTTCCGATTCTGACTTTGACATCCTCTTTAGTGACTGTGCTGCCTGTAGTTGAAACAGTGCTTCCTAGATACGTGAAGGAGATTACTTCTTCTTTTAAGTTCCTCCTGTTGATGGTGATTGGAGTTCGTTGTTGTTGTTGGAGTTGTTGGCTGGGTATCTTCATCACCTCTGTCTTCTCTATATTCACTTGAAGTCCCATCTTCGCTGCCCTGCCCTGCCCTGCCTCTTCCGTCAACTTGTTAGTTTTCGCCTGTACATCTTCAAGTTTATGTCACATCAGACACAAGTCATCGTTGGCGAAATCCAGATTTTCTAGGTTCTTTTCCGCAGTCCAGCCAGCGTATCCCCCTCTTCTCGCTCCCCACTGTTTCATGCATGATCCAGTCCAGTCGAACACAATCAGGAATATCATGGGGGATAGTAGACGGCAGTCTTGTCTCACTCCTGTCTTCACTTCACTTCAAAAGCATCATTGAGCTTCCCATTGTGAATTACTTGGCTGGCATGTGGAGTCTTCATATAGTTGTTGAATGAGGTTGATAAAGGTTTGCGGTACTCCGTGGTAATGAAGCAGTTTCCAAATTACCTCTCGGTCAACGCTGTCAAAGGCCTTCTCAAAGTCGATGAAGTTGAGGTAGAGAATTGAGTTGACTGCCATTCTATACTCTGTTCTATGATGATGTGAAGCGTTGCAATTTGGTCCGCACATGATTTGTACTTCCTGAAGCCTGCCTGTTCCGGTCGTAGTTTTGAATCCAGCGCATCCTTTAGCCTCTAAACATTAAGTTATATTGACCTGAATTTTGCGAAAACCTATTCCATTGAAATAAAAATGGACCCCTTTTATCCTGTTCTTATCCTTGCTCTTTCCTTTGTTAAATTTATAAAAGGAAATTCGAGTATGCGAATCTACTGTTCATTTATAATAGCAGAGTTGACACCATAAGCAATCCAGTATGAAAAAAAGTACTTATGGTTAATCATAAAGATCTAACTGTCTAAAAAACAATGAAAAAGTGAATTTGTTCAACAGTTAGGAGATTACAGTGGAACCTCAGTGTTCCACGTCACTTAGATCCAGAGAAGTGTTATTTTTGAAACGAGTGAAAAGGAATCTGCATAGATTAGAATTGCTGTGTATTGCTACATAATTATCAAAGACTTCTCTCCAGTAGCATCCACTAAGCTTTCTCATCACTACTTTCATTAGAATATGTGCACATAATCATGAACGAAACTATGAGCTATGATATTTAATCCCAAGCATTTTGTCATCAGATTTAATAATTTCATGAGTACTATATGTTACATCAAAACTTAGATGAAATCAAACTATTACCATGTTTCATAGTAATGACGGGTAGCGGTTAGCGGTGAATTCCAGGACGCACATTTCACTCTATTTGGGATTTGTCAGTCGGACTTACCTACCACCTCCTAGTGAGTGTTGCTCCCACGAGGACTCGGACCAAGGACCGATCGTTTCAAACAATAGAGCGTTACGTACCTGGCCACTGAGTCATGATATATATACATACATATAATCGTTCAAAGAAAGGCGAAGAGCAGATGTATCTCGTGACAATGTAACCGATTTAAACAATATCACCTCTACGCATCAGCTAAAATATCTTGTATGATCCTTAGTACTCCATCACGCTATCCTTTTTCCCTTGAAATACTAATCCCAAATATCTTCCAGGTTTCAAACCGAAGATGTGAGATGACTAACATACTTCAGGACAAAACTTCCTAACTTTCATTCGCCATACCGTGTTCCCACCACCAAAACTCTGACAATTCGATTTGAAGGTCTGCGGGGATTTATTGATTGATTTCAGGTTTATATTCATCATGGACTGATATTAATTAGAGAAACATTGGAAACCTGGGGGCACTGGACAGCTGCTTCGTCCTAGCATGGGACCCCTCAGCAGTGCGCATCCATGACCCCCACCGGGGTCGAACCCAGGACCTTCGGGCTTCACGGTCAGCACGTTACCACTGGACCAATGGGTCAGCATCTAATAGTCTATGTTTCTTACTTCTGTTTTTTTGATTAGTCATATCACGGGGATTAGGTTGAGGTACTCCTCGACGTCGTAGTCACCTTACACAACTCCCCAGTTCTCAAGTTCACAGTTTACACTACTACAGTTATTACATGTTTATTTCAATCATCTTCACAAGCGAAGTTGATGAATTTCTCGAAACCAATAAATAAGACAAGTCTCGACAATTGAAATAGTTTGTTGAATTGATGACTTAAGTCATGAATCGAATACAAATTGAAATGCACTCAGCAACTTTATCCATATTCTTGCATTAGACAATGATCCACACCTATTGTGTGAGGAGTAGTGATACTAACTGGCTCGCCTAACCTCGGCAGGTGGAGTTGAGTTCGAATCAGCAGTCCGTCGGTTTAAAGACATCTTCCTAAACCAACAAGCCCCAGTTCAACTAAGTCGTGAATGACTATATATATCAACAAGATTCATGGTTTACAGACTGGCAATAACACTTTGACCAAATGAAATCGGCTTTTGACATTACATAGTACTGATTAACAACCGCTATATTAATCACTACGTGAACATATGATTAGATCTAAATTAAAATCATTTACAACGAACTCACCTCACCATCAGGATGCCATGCCACTGATTTTACATCCTGAGAATGTGGTTGCAGTACACTTATGCACTGAACATCCTCTTCATCGTCAAATTCCCACAGCCAGACACTTTTGTCTCGACCACAGGTAGCTATCAGATGACCAGACGGACACCAGGCAACGCATTTAACCTCACTAGTATGACCTGATAATCGTGAAAGAAAATGTTAATAAACTTAACCAACTGTAGCATATAAATGAGCAGTACAATGGAGTAAATAGATCAGAGTGATGAAAACAGAGTGTATACTTCGTGAAGATATAAAAACATTTCTTTGCAGCTGCAGCCAGACAATCTCTAACAGACTATCTACAGTCATTGAACCAATCCATCACAACAAAAACAACAGGGAATATGAGAAGCTGATATATATGTATATATATATATATATATATATATATATATATATATATATATATATATAGACATATGACGCGATACCATTTCACTCCATAGAAGTTATTTTGATGTGGTACAAGTACTCAGTTTTTAGCCGGTAGATAACGAGTTACAACCTTGCTACACTTGATGTGGTCCAGCCAAGCAGGTCAGATAACTAACTAACCCTAAGACAGCAGATGTGATTGACTGACTAGTTCACGGAGATACACAAGTCAAGTAATCTTCACTATATTACTCTAAGCTGAATTTTGTGTTGTTTGAGACTTGCTAGTTACAGTTATGCCTCATTTTATCAAATGTTATGTAGGAAAACAAAACTATAAGGGTTTCAAACACTTAAACTTGACGGTTTTATATATTATTTCAAAGATTTTTTATTTCTACTGTTTACTTCAGCTATTTACCAACTAGAACGAAGATAAAAAACCCAATTTTAAGGTGGGTTTCGCTCTATGTGCCAGCTGTTCAAGATTGAGTAGATAGAGAGACAGAGACAGACAATATCAACATAGGACCTGACATTACTGCGTAGTGGTGCAGGTTGTCACGCTTCATATCAACACATCAAGTGAGGGTGCAACACAATCAAACCAAAAGAAATAAAGAAGCAACCAGTCAAAAGTGGTAAGAAATTATCAGGAGAGAGCAAGGAAGGATGTGCGGATATATATACATCAGTGGTCGATTTTGAAATATATCACCTAGAGTCTACAACCCCCTGTTTGTGGTGTCACATCAACCAGAAAGTCTACATTTCCTTACACGATTAGGAACAACAGTCAGAGACTTCATAGACTAATGTTATGCTTTAGTTTTGCCGCCTCTAGTATTTTTCCAGCTTGAACCTAGTTCAGATAATATTTGTGATGGGTAGATGATGACTAGACATGTTTAACATATGTCCTAGCCAACGGAGTTGAAGGTCCACAACCTCAATTCCAAAAGCTGGTGAAGGATGATGATATTTGATTCCCAAACGTTAGTTAACATTTCAGTCAACCTGACCAATAATCCACCACTAGCTTCCTTAAATACTTCGAGTACTCATCTTTCTGACTCCGTTCCCTTTCCTCCTTTCAAGTCACTTGCAGCTTTCTCGACTTCTGTAAGTGTTGGGGGTCCTATCTCAACTTCCCATTCAGGACGCGACTGGAGCGTGGGTAGAAGTAGTAGGTGAATGCCAGCTGAACTGCTCCTAGAAGTGTCCTGCACATCACTCCAGTGATCTACCCCACGACCGAATCGCAGACCTATCCTTCTCCGCTATGGTCTAACTAACCATCGACCTTTTTGTACCAGTTTCCTATCGGCTCCGCCATCCACCACTATTTCCAGTCACTATACAAACTTTTGTCAGCTTACATTTCACTCCAACTCCTCATCATGCTCGGAGCCTACGGGAATGTGCATCCACTAATTGATAAGAAGCTTCAGAGATTAACTGGTCCTTCCTAACCTCTCTCTTTCTCTCTCAACGCTGCTCTTACAGCAGAGTGGAGATGGTGTCAACCTCCTTCTGCAACATCGCTCTGATTTGACAACTCCCCAGCCAATTTCTTAATGAAAGCAGCCGTAATAATCTCATCGTCATATAGCACTCGAAATTATCTTGTCACCGTGATTTTCCCCACGTCCATTTAGGTGTAGATATGCATAGCGAAACCAACGCGTGACCACTGTTCAAACACGTGCTGCAGAAGCAGCGACAAACTTCAACTGGCTCTCTCCAGCAATAACTGTTCACCACTGAGTCAAAGTCGGTGAACACCGTGTCACCCAATCACTCTTTATGTCTGAAGTTCGCGTCGGTTAGAAATAGACCGGTGTCTGAGCACAGTTGTAGCAGGCGAATACCATCATTTGTTCGCCCAGTTGTGATTCCCAAAGTGTTACCTAAGTGCCTTTCAGTTTAACTCGTACACTGAAATCACCTGCAAAAACAATCACGTCTGGAAGTTTTCGGTAGAACTCTCCCTTCACTTCATCCAAGCTGAAGTCGGTGAATAGGTAAGCGGAGACCACGACAAGAAAATATCTAGTTTCACTATTGCTTTCAGTCTTCACTGTGCCGTTCAGTTCGATAGTGCACAGGAGACTGTTAACTGGGGTTCAGTCGAGCAGTGTACCTTCTGCTTTAGCACTTAATGCTATACATATGCATGCAAGGTCGCAGGAACAAGTCATAGAATCTCCAGAAACTTGAAGGGTCAATTACGCAGATTCAGCATTCTGGCCGAGTGATGTTAATTGAACAGCAACACTTGGATCCTGCATGCGTACCTTACAAGTATAGTATATGTTTATGGACTGAGATGCCAGTTTTGGTAGGAGAAGCTTGTCGTTTAATTTGACCGGGACTGTATACGTTAAAAGCCCTTATATGTAGTTTGAAGCACGGTTTCAGGAGATCGGTGGAGCTGTTCTGTGTACTAGGACTGATATCAAGAGCTGATGAGTTGGTTGAAATCAAAGATGATATGGAAATGTTGACTGAGACACAACGAAAAATTGGAAGGGTAAAATGCAGAAAGCTGATGATGATCTGAGGGAACTTAAGTGCTGACGACGGCGTTGACACTTTCCAGCTACCCACAGCGAGGAGTGCCAGTTCTTCTGGATGCACCTGAAAAAGAAAGGTCGGTGCATGATGACAGAGCCCAAGGGATATCTGCGTGAGGCCGATCACAACTACTTTAGAAATCTGAGATTTTTATGTCTTTTTCAAATCCTTTACCGCCGGTATCTAGGGTCCACAGAGTCGATGGGGATTTGTTCGTTTTATAACCGACCTTTCTCACTCCTAGTTTTTCCCGTAGGGAAGGGAGAATCATTTGGGAACTGCTAGCCATCAGTAAAAAGCATTACAGCTGTTACATCCCCGTCCGAACAGCAGTAAAACTTCGCCGACGGACTCCCATCAAGGCGTTGAAATGAACACTACAAGCGTAACTATATCTCGTCATACTACTATCCAACTGACTCTTCCAAAAATGCAGGGCGTTAAGAGGATGAATGTTCCACCAGCGTAGCTTGTCGATTAGTTATGATATGCAAGCCTAACAACCACGTCAAAGTAGCAGCTGTCGGTAGGGGTTATGTAACGGTAAAACAAGATCGAAACCCACGCGGCAACCTTGCACACATTTGTGCGGTAAACAATCAGCCACAACTGTTGTGTCAGAAATTAATATACTGTCCGGATGCCCGAATCTGGGTAGGTGGAGCCGAGTTGGAGACTACCATCCAAAAGTGGGAAATCCCGTGCCTAGGTCAAAGAGCCACAGATCGCGGTTATATAACAGCTCAACTAATCATGAGTCTTTATGTCAATCAAAATATGCACGCAAATGAGTAACTTAATAATCTTCATCTAAGGGATAATCTGATGCCGCTACACTTCTAAAAAATATTTCCAAATGATTTCCTTTAAAATAAGTGGTTAACAATTTCAATTACTCAGAGAATTCTATCCTATTAGACTGCAACTTTCTACATAAACAAAGCTATAAACCAGATACATAACGTCACCTTCGTAGCATCGTCCAATCACCTAGAACAGAATTTTGATTTACACTACCATTTAGCGTGGAGGGTTGTCACCTTATTATCAATTGGTTCCTAAAATCCACAAGACTGTTACCCAAAACATGTGTGTTCAAAGACTACTCGGTGAATTACAATCTTTGTTAAGCTTCACAATCACGAAAAACCGCATCCAACATCTAACACCTAAGATGTTAGGGAGAACTGTTTTATGTCGTATATAGTACTGCAAACCAAACCGCATGCTAAACTAACTAGTAGCGAATGTTGACCGTATACAACCTGATGGTTTTAAGTCTAAATATGACCTTAGTATCTCACTTCGGAGACACCTATAAGCTAAGATAACATCGAACATAAAAAATATGCGTATTATAATAATTACTTGTGAAATTCCCACTTGGACTCATGAGAATGTACCAGGTTTTTACCATACCGCTTACTTCTCTGCATGGACCAATCCAGTTTATTAATCTCAATCAGCTTTCACCTTATGCATCAACTATCAGTGATCTCCCAAACGATTTGCGCTGATGGGTTAGCTACCAAAAATTAATCGTAGCGTTAAAACATGGTCGAGATGCTGCATCAAAGTGTTCCATCTATGTTAAATGAAACTAGAATGGAACTGGAAAGCGTAACCTGACTGTACGAAAGAGATATTTCAATAAGTAATTCACTATGTATTTTGCCCTAACACAATACACTCCAACCAGCTTACGTGGTACGAACAAACGGATGATGGGCACCTCAACCTTATGTAGGAATTGACACTAGTGCCAAAATTCGTCGAAGCAAAAAGAGATGATCATCTCTTTACGACTCAAGACCCGAGTCCTCTTTCCTAATAATGAAAACTACATGATATGTAAACAGGACACCTGATCCAAGAACCACGTTAACCTCACAGATGAAGAGGTTCATACAGAACTACTCGCGAAGTTTCTAACAAGAATATACTTCACGCAGATTTAACCTGTCTGCAACAAAGAAACATACCTTCAAGGGTCACCAATGCCTCAAACTCCAATGCTGAAAATTCCTTTGGTATTTTCCATATTGCAACTGTACCGTCAAAACTAGCAGAAGCTATGTAGGAGCCACATGGTGACCAAGTTACGCATCTAATCGACCTCTTGTGAGCTTCAGGGAGACAAAAAGTAGGTCCCCACAAACCATCACAGCACTTGGACCACAGTTTGATCTCTCTGTCTTCTCCGCAAGAAACTAAATAAGATCCATTGTAGTTCCAACTGACAGACCATAGTCGTCTGTTACTAGCTTTCAGCTTCTGTTCTTCATGAACAGCAATCATGCAAAAGTACTTCGATTGCCCGGGCAACCTTGATTATTCATTCCAAGGTCAGACCCAATATCCAATATCTTTTTAACGAGCTTGTGTAAACCAGTTCATTTCTTCTTGCTAGCTTCTTGGTCTTACGGAACCGTTCCAGATCTTAGGCGGATTCAGATGCAGTCGATCCAGCCACTCGTCTGCTGTAGCTTTTCAAAAGGACAGTGGGGTTTGACAAATTTTGACTAGTCTGTTATATTAACTGTGTTGAGGGTCATAACTCCTTGAACAAACATTTTTCTACCTTTTATGCAGTCTAATGATAGTTTCAATGGATGTCTGCGTGGACTGTGGCAGAAATGTCAGTTTCTCAGCTAAGGCGATCGGTTGCGAGCTTTGGTCTCAATGGACTCACTGCTCCTGTGATCCCAGCCGGCCATCTGGTTATTATGAAGCGTTGCTTAATAGCCCTTTTGATGGTGGTCGGTATTTTTTTCCATGTTGTAGGTCCAAAAGTAAGTGCTAAACAGGCCTATAGCTAGTGAGACAGAACTCCGACCACCTTACAACTGAGATCTCTACACAAACCAGCCTCAATATAAAGAAGTCTCATGGCCATAAAAAGATCTCTCAAGTTATCAGTAAGGGAAGTAGCGAATTCATCACTGTCACTGAATGTCTCCCCGTTAGCACGCCTTTGGGACAGATCCCCTCAGTGATGAACGAGAATCTCACACCCGATAAGCACCGAAAGAAAGGTCTGAAGAAAAGTAGACGGGTCAGTTCAGTTAAAAATGGAACATTAAGTAACGACAGTAAGACTAGCATAGTAACGACTACTCAGCCTAATGAGAAGCCGAACCATAAGCTGAACACCGCCCCTCTGAAAAAAGCAGATCTTGATCCCACCACCTGTAACTCAGGGTGGAGGCCACCAGCATTTCACCACCCGCCTCGTTCAATCATCAAGAAAACTCCCACAGCTGGCACCTCAGGTCTTCCGAGTCACTCGCAAAAGGCTCACCAGAAATCTGAGTCTGTATTCACAGGTTGGGACAAGATTTAAAAGACAGACCATAACCCTTATCTTAGATCGCTCATACCCTTCTACGTTCAGGAAAGTGCCTCCTCCCTATTGGCCGATCGTGAAGGACATGACCTTGGCGAATGGAAGAATGCAAACTCCTAGGAACCTCTTCCTGCGGTCCATCTCTGCAAGGCCTAGCGCGTAGTAGGTCCTCCCTCAAGGGCTCTCCTAGACCTTTAGGATTGTCTCTTGACAGTACTCGTCAGTCGAAACACATCCTCCTGAAGGGTTACCAATTGGTGAAAGGTAAACTGTCCGACGCCAGGATTAGGCCTGATAGACCCCGGTCAGTGCGAGAACTTCGCAATAGCAAGAAGATTCACTCCTAAACCAGTGGAGACAAATTGTCAGCAAACTCCAAATCGATATGAGGGCCGAAAGAATTAACCGTCTTCCAAGGCCAGCTCACCTTTCGACTACACGTACTTCCAGGCCACTCTAGGTAACCCTTGACCCTCCGAACGTGGTTAGAACTACCTTGGAATCCAGGTATAATTTATCTGACACATTCCTGGAGAAATAAAGATAAGCGAGTGCAGACCCAGGAAACAAAGGCAGACTGAGAGGCGATTCAAGCGCCTACCGTTGGCCAACGCATACCTAACGGTAGAATTGCTGGGCGATGAGCAAGGGTATTTATCGACCCTGTCCCAGATCGAAGAACCCTGCACCAGCCCCCAGTCAAAGAGATACATACAAAGATCCGTGCTAACTCATTTGTAGTTAGAGTCTGTAAACTGTGGAATTCCCTCCCTTCAGTAGTTGTTACAGCCCCATCCCCTGACACTTTTAAAAGGAGGTTAGACGCACACCTCGAGTCCTACGGTAATGAAGGGCTGTACTCTGGAAGCCTTCCCCTGATCAGATGCAGTAATACTAACTTGAGACCGGAATAATCGATTAATTGTGTCTCTATCCTTCCAAGTTTTCCAGAACCAAGAAGATAATTGTGACCATTTCAGACTCAGAAAGCATTCCAATAAGACAGACGTAGAGCCCAAAGAACCGCATTTCACTAATTCCACAACACGAAGTTTGAAGTTTGAAGCTCTGATTTACAGAACAGGAAGTTAAGCGTTGGTTTTTTTGTCTTGGACTGCGATGCAGTTGGCTTCTTCATATGTCCAGTTGCCGGACAGTTGTTAGGACTGGTCGCTAGAGGGGGTTAGGGATAGTGAAGAGAAACCCTATGAAGTGTTTGCGCGAGTAGAAGAGAAGAAGAAAAGTGAACTGTTGGAGTAATCTGCTTACACCCAAGTAAGGCGAGGAGGGATGAAAAGGTATGAAGAACTTAGGTAAGTGAGGCTAACTTATGGCAAGTGGAAGGGATGAAAAGGGTTTAAATGGTTACAACAGAAAGAAAACTGGCCGGGGCGGCTTGACACCAGTTCCTGTTCCAGCTAAATGTGGGTAGACCGAGGGTCTCTGCATGACTGTCTAGCCTCTTCTTGAAGCTTTCGATAGTTGGGGCGGAAACCACCTCTGCTGGTAGCGCGTTCCAGCACCCGCAGACTCGGAGGGAGAGGAGCTGTGAACGCACAAGCGTTTTTAACCCTTGGTGGGCTATTCTCTTACTGTTTCCCCGAAGATCTTCACAGTGGCCACTTGGTAGTATTCCTCTGTTCGAGTGACTTGGGTTACTCAGCATTTTGCAAGCCATTATCAAGTCACTTCGTGACCTTCGGTAGCTAAGAGAGTATAGGCCTAGGTCTTTCAGTCTATCGTCATATGGTTTTCGTTGCACTCCAACAACCCCTTTTGTGGCTCGCCTCCGGACTTTCTCTAGTGAGTTAGTGCCATTTTTCAGCTGTGGTGGAGCGACGACGTTGGGGACCTCCAAGTGGGGTTGTGTGTAGGTCTTGTAGAGCTCCAGAAATAGTTCTGGGGTGAGGGCAGCCAGCTGTCCAGGCACAAAGTGTAGTACACCATATGCTTTTGAGGCATCACCTGGGTAATTGGAACTGGTGTCCAGTTTCTCCGCCACCGTTAAACCCAAGCCCTTTCCTACTGTGGTATGGGATAGAGGTGAACCATAGAGATAGTAGGATATTTTCTGGGGATCAGGAGTGCGGGGAAACATGAACCGGCACTCATCCGGGCCAAATGCCAGTTCATTATTAGTTCCCCATTCGTCCAGCGTTCTGAAGTCGTTCTGTAATGCCATAGATTCCGCTTCGCAAGTTGTTGCCCCCGTAACTTGACATCATCAGCGTATAGGAGAATCGGGGAGCTGACATGGTGCAGCAGGTCATTTAAGAACAATAGGAATAACAGTGGGCCCAAGATTGCTCCTGGTGAGACACCGGATGAGGACATTCTCCAGGTTGAGTAGACCCTGTTGACTTTCGTGTAGAACTCCCTATTGTCTCAGTAGTTCTGCGGCCACGACAGCACCTGGCTGCGTATACCTAACCCAGCTATTTTATGTAGTGGGATCGAGTGTGGGACAGTGCTGAAGGCCCTGGCGAAGTCCAGAAAAATTGCGTGGACCATGACCTCGAGATCCCAGCATGCTGTCAAGGGATCATGGACCGTCAGAAGGTTGAAGGCACAGGAGCTACCCTTCCGGAAGCCATGCTGAGCGTCACTGAGTGCCTTCTTTGTCCAGATATCCCCTGATACAATCGTCCATCACACTTTCCATAACTTTTGACATCACCGGTAGAAGTGCTACGGGCCTATAACAGTTGGGATTCTGTCTGTCTCATCCTTTGAAGATGGGGGAAAGAATAGCCTTTATGCCACTCTCGTGGGAGCTTTTGCTCATCCAAGGATTGTTGGAAGAGGTCGCAGGGAAGGTCACCTACAGGTACTTGCACATTTTTTCAACACAGATGGGTGGATGTCGTCGCACCCTGGGGATTTTCCCGCGCTTAGCTTTAATAGCTTGTCGAGAACAACAGCGCGAGTTATCTGCATTTCGTGTAACTCAGCAGCATCGGGCAACGTTGAGGGCTGTTCGTGCAGTTGGTATGCTCACTTTCCTGATGGAATGTTCAGCTGTGTGTCCAATGCGATGCCCAACATTTCAGCGATCCCCTGTTCAGAGAGGTTTTCTCTGTTCGGACCTTTCATGACGCATGCTCCTTGGCTTGTCGATTTTCCCTTTGCCATGAATCGTTATACGTTTCTGGGGTTTACCACATGCCTTTTGGCCAGATTGGACTGGGACAACCTCCTGCCTTCCCGCACCCTGATGTTTCTTCGATTCCGTGGAGTCATATATACGTCATGGCCGTCCTGTTCCCTGGAGAGTCTCCAAGTGTGCCATGCCCTTCTCTTGGCTTTTAGAAGGCGCTAAGTGCCCCGTTTTATCCATAAGGGTTCGCTTTCTAGTTGTCGTTACCACCAGGGGAACGTTCTGCGAGATGGCACCCTAATGATATCTTTTACCAGTTCCCAGTGCTGGCTGACCGATAAGGAACACCAATCCATTGGCCACGGAGCTCCTGATAGGCCTTTGTCCATACCTTCGTGATTTACCTTGCTGTAACGGAGGTAGGGACGAGGTCCCCCCATGATAATTTTTTAGTGATTACCAGGTAGAACGCTACCAGAGTGTGGTCGCCGCATCCAAGAGGAGTTTGTACCTGAACGTTTTCAACCAGAAGGTGATCACTAGTCAGTAGTTAATCCAGTTTCAATGGTTTACCATCTGATCCCCAGTGGGTGTTGTCGCGGATTTTTTCCTGCAGTCCAGCCATTTGGATGGCATTTAGCAGGTTGCAGCAAAACTTCTGGCTGAGGGTTGGAGCACTGAAGTCGCCAGCTATTAAAATCTGGTCATACCCTGTAGTTGACACTGTGGATATTATTTGAAGCAGTTTTTGGTTGCGTTTCAAGTTGCTGTTGGGGGACCTATAGACTCCTCTAACTAGGAATTTGGTGTTTTTGACCGTGAAGTGCCACCAGATAGAGTCTGAGAGCTTTTCAGTACCGTGTCAGTGGTTTGTTCACTTCTGAACCACTTGTTCACGT